GATGCTGTGTAATTACAGGTGGGCAATTACTGTATCGATTATCACTTATTGTGACAAATTTCTGATCATGATAAGAATTTTGATTTATTGATGTCGCAATAAATTTCAATTAATAATATTTTAAAACAAAACTGAGAATATTACCTTTTATGTAGTGTTTCAATAACCAAAATATTGGACGAAATAAAAATAACTAGTTCATTTTTAAACACTTTGAAAACTCAGGATTGTTTAGACATTTTTAAGAAAAATTTTGTATCAAACATTTTTGTTACAGTTCACGTTTCAGCTTTTTATTGAAATACTACCGACCAATTACGTTGATGTGCATATTTTTAATAATCTGTCGTTATGTCATAATCTTTCATTTTCAGCCACAGTTGTTCTTTTCTCACACTTGACAAAGAGAGAAATATAAAAATATGTTAATTTCTAATCGAAACGTGTAACAAAGGACAGTTATATCTAATTATATTTTTAAATAAAGTGTATTTTTACCCAACATTATGTGTTTTCTTCCATACCTATGAAGAACCACCAGTAGAAATAAGACAAAAAGTTTCAAATTTGTCTGAATATTATTCATGTGTATGTTATTGTTAAAAATCACTTAATTAATAAATGCACTCATACTTTTATGTAAAAAAAAATCACTTCATGCTTTTCTTTAATCCTATTAAAATGTTCAATCTTACTTTATTGTTTTTAGTATTTATTTAATTGTTTAAGGTGAATGGGAGCAACATTTTTTTGTGCTAAAAAATAAAAACTGCTCTGTGACCAAAGTGATTTTGATTACAATTTTGAGTAATTCATAAAATGAAACATTATATGAATAAAATTTAGTTTTATCTTAGGAGGAAGAGTTGACACTCTTACAATATTTGATATTTATTTCGTTATTAAGTCAAACTAAATGGTTTATGTGTCAGATAATGAGAGGAAAGATAAATTTACATGTTGGTTTCTTGTGCTGAAATGCTAAATTTAAAATTTTAAGTTTTCATCAACACTTTCACCGTACCATAACCATAATTTCCAATTGTGCTTCTCCTCACTAATAGAGACGCTAAAATAATTATTTAAGTACTAAACAGGGTTTTTCTAAGGATTCTTTCCCCAGGTTTTCTCACTGTGCCGCCTCTCTCTCTCTCTCTCTCCCCACAGATGGAAACTAATCACGCCTAATTAAGCTGCACACCAGTCTCCACTTAAGGCTTGTCTGGTTTATAAAGAGGGACTGAATTTGCCTGGTTGAACCATTTTTGCAGAAGACGCTGAGAGAAAGTGGTTCTGTCTGAGAAGTGATTGTTTTGTAGATTGATCTGCAGCCATGGTGAGAGAAAAGGCTCATGTTAACGTGGTCATCATCGGCCATGTTGACAGTGGAAAATCCACTACCACTGGACACCTGGTCTACAAGTGTGGTGGTGTGGACCAGCGGAAACTGGAGAAGTTTGAGAAAGTGCGGCCCAGGTGAGACTTTTGGCTTTTTATTTTTGAGGGAATCTTAAACAATGGAAATACCTGTAACAGTACATCAGGGCTTTTGTAGATAGAAACTGAGCAAATTTCTAGAACTGTGATGTTTCTGAAATCTCTGTTCAATCTGAAACTTTAAAATCAAGTTTCCTATAAAACTAGGTAATTTCTGAGCTTTAAGAGTCAAAATTTCAACTTTTGAAGCTCAAATTTCCAAGATTTTCTGTGTTCTCAAACTTAAAATTTCCGAGTTTTTGTTTTCTGGAAAAGTTTAACACAAATTTTCTACCAAAAACAACCTTAGAAAATTGAGTTTAAAATGTTTTACTCCTGACACTAAAATGTCCAAGTTCTAGAAACTTGATGGCTGACTTTTTTTCCAAGCAAATTTGACTTTTTGAAGTTGTTTTTTTGGGGGGGGGGTTCTAGAAAACCTGAGCTTCAGGAGTTGATCTCAAACTCTTGAAACTCAGATTTTCTTGAAAAGTCAAACATTTTCTTTAGAAAACTCAGAAATACAGACCTTGAATGGTCTAGAACTTTTAAATGCGAGTGTCGTATATGGAAAATCTTCAAAACTCAAATTCCCAAGTGGTTTTCTTATAGGAAACTTGCTCTAATATGCCTTCAAGTACTCTGGTTTCGTTCCAGATGGGGAAGAGTTCCTTCAAGTTCGCCTGGCTGCTGGACAAGCTGAAGGCCGAACGGGAGCGAGGAATCACCATCGACATCTCTCTGCTGAAGTTTAACACCCAGAAATACAGCATGACCATCATTGACGCACCTGGACACAGAGACTTCATCAAAAACATGATCACTGGCACATCCCAGGTAATAAAGCTAGAATAGTTATATCTTTGAGAGCGGTGTTTGAGTAACTACGGTCTTCCAGGCTGATGTCGCCCTGCTGGTCGTCTCCGCGGCCAAAGGGGAATATGAGGCGGGTGTTTCCAGGAGTGGCCAGACCAGAGAGCATGCCTTACTGGCTTACACTCTGGGCGTCAAGCAGATCATAGTCTGTGTGAACAAAATGGACCTCACGGAGCCGCCGTACAGTCAGAAACGCTACGACGAAGTGGTCAGAGGAGTGAAGGTCTTCCTCAAGAAGATCGGCTACGACACAGACGCCGTGCCCTTTGTTCCGATCTCCGGCTGGATGGGCGAAAACATGATCGCGCCAACACAAAGGGTAACTTTTCAGGGGCTTAAGGTGGACAAACGATGCAATGAACTGCGTTTAAAACCATTTGAGTGCAGATGCCGTGGTACCAAGGCTGGAAGGTCCGACTGAGGGAAGGTGCTGAAAGCGGAAAGACTCTTCTAGAAGTTCTGGACTCGGTAAAACCTCCAGTGCGAACAATCAACAAACCTCTACGCCTCCCTTTGCAGGACGTCTACAAAATTGGAGGTAAATCAGTGCAGCGCTTGCTCGAAATTGCCTACGCTTTAAACAACATCCTCCACTCAACAGATGTGCTGAGCTAAACAAGATGGCTGACAATGGAAGTTGACCAGATTTTTTTTTTTTTTAAGAGACTAAAATATTTAGACATATTATGAAACGAGTATTTTCACACTACTATTCAGCTGATGCTCATTCCAACTTAATTTTGGTTCAGTTTACCGTCTCCAAAATTCAGAGTTGCAATGACAAAGCTAAGATGTTTGTGTTAAGTTTTTAAGATGATTTGGTTTCTCTAGGTGTTGGGACAGTTCCAGTGGGAAAGATTGAAACTGGAGTCCTCAAGCCAGGCATGACCTTGATGTTCTCCCCTGCCAAGCTCACTGCAGAAGTGAAATCCATAGAAATGCACCACCAAGGTCTGGATACGGCTCTGCCAGGTCACAATGTTGGCTTCAACATAAAGAACGTCTCTGTAAAGAACCTGCAGCGTGGCGATGTGGCCGGCAACGCCCAGCACGACCCTCCTTGTGAGGTCTGCAGCTTTGAAGCTCAGGTTTGTTATAGAGAATGTTGAATAAATTACATTTTTGCCTCGGACTCAAATAAGCATACTTCTCCTTTAGGTAATCATCCTGAATCATCCAGGGAGATAAAACGGGCTACTCTCCTGTCCTGGACTGCCACACCGCTCATGTCACCTGCCAATTTGCCGAGCTGAAGGAGAAGCTCGACCGCCGAACAGGGAAGAAACTGGAGGATGACCCTCAGCTGCTGCAGTCTGGAGATGCAGCTACAGTCAAACTGGTTCCCATTAAGCCCATGTGTGTGGAGAGCTTCTTCACCTACCCTCCTTTAGGTAAAGCAAAGGTTGCACTAATGTCCAACTTATTGTACATCCTGTCCTCACAATGTTCTGCTTGCAGGTCGCTTTGCAGCGAGAGACCTGAAGCAGACGGTTGCAGTCGGAGTGATAAAGTCTGTGAGAAGGAGCAAGGGTCAAAAGCTTCCCAGAAAACACAACCGTCTAAATGAGCTGGTTTTAGCTTACATGTTTTCTAACGGTACAAAACCACCTTTTTATTTGAGAAAGGTGACATTTGTGTTGCAACAAATGGTGTTTAGTTTCTTTAAGGTGTATGACATTCCTGTGTTATTGATTCCAAAGTTGTAGAATTGTATATTTTCCTTTAAACCTATTTGAAGCAAAGTTTTGGAAAAGTTGAACTGAATTGTAATTAAAAAATATTTGAGTTCAACAAAGCCTCATTCTTGCAAATTGCCAACATTTTTGGTGTATAAATGAAAACTGGTTAAGCTTGGTAACTTTGCAAAAGGCTTAGACTAGATGGAAATGATCCTTGTTGGGGTTTTTAGCTAGGCTAATGTAAAAGGTTGCATCTTAAGGGGGGGCATCTATCTGTATATTTATTTGAAAGAACTTCAGTTTAACTTATCAAGATCAGATTCTAACATTCTGGATGTTTGGAAGCAAACATCCAGAATGTTTGCTTCCAAACATCCATGAGGGAAAGCTTTGAACATAAATTTGTGGAAGATGCCAAACTGAAGAGGAAGTTTTTATTCTGCATGCTAAATTTAGAGATCCAAAGATAAACCAATGTTGTGACTCACCTGAGTGAAATTGGATCCTGTCTTCAAATTAAACATTTTACTGGACTGCAGCAAGAATTCATTTTAAAGCCAGAGGTCATAAAAGGTCAGCCTCCCAACATTAAGAAAACCAAGCGAATTTGGTGTCAATCAAATCCTCCATATTTTAGCAGCATAAACAAAGCACAATATATTTAATCTCTGTCTGGAAACGCATAGTTGACCTTTGACCTCTGGAAAATTTATATCTTTACAATGATAGCAACACAAATGTTTCACACCAAATTTGTTAAATTGCTCTTGTTCTGGTCACAGAAAAAAACAAATACCGCTGGTTTTCCAGACTTTCCATTTCACAAACCAGTAAGTTCCCTAATTTTTAACATCTCTCCAGGCCATGTGTTGAAATGTGACTGGAATATTTTCCCCTCTAATATGAAGTCCAGTAATAAGAGTTTCCCTTGGAGTTGAGTCAAACCACAAGTAAAAGCAAAACCTAGACTCATTGTTTCGGTACAGCACTTTTAATGATACAATGGGTTGATGGGTTTGTTCCTTAACATGGGAAGAACTGTACGTCAGTGAGGACTGGGTGAAAATACATAGTCTCCACAACCTTCATCTAAAAGACATTTCTGGTTCACAGGCAACCTGGAAATGTTCTCCAGTAACAAGGAATGATTTCAAACTTAAAAAAACTGAACAAAATTCAAGCTCATGAGGTTTTACAAGACACTGAAATGTGAACACAGGTTCTGAAACTTCTAGCCTGTGAAAAAAACATTATTGCTAAGATGTCCTGTTGAGATTCCCATACATATGGTCGATAGTGGCTTAAAACAACAGGATATACCGCTCCTTTTTTTTCTGTGTAGTCCTGCTATAGTGGCTTTTCAAACCCTGAGGTGAGTGTTTGAACTTTGCACTCCACTCGTTTCCAGTCGTCGTTTCATCAAGGAAAAGCTGAGATGGTCGGTTTTCAACACACAGAGCATACGTACGGGTGGACAGTGTAACAAGGAGTAAAATTAGTGACCTACAGTGAACCACGGGCTTTTGAATGTTTTTTTTTCTTTTTTAAATCCACCACAAAGTAGCAGCAGGTTTTTGTACGGTAAAACAATCATAATACGTGTAACACACAAAAAAGCAAGCAAGAACAAGGAGTACACTTGATGAGAATACTTTCCCCCGTTTCGGGGGAGGATTGGCGGGAGACCCCTGCCTCTTCAGTCAACTATGGTGGTAAACAGGGATGCAAGACAAATAATGACATGACCTATTTCACATTCAATTTCATATCTGTCCCTCCTGCCCCACTCTGCCAACCCCACAGAAATATAAGCTGATAATTACTCGAGGACCGGTGAAAGTAATACAGATAAAATTCACGCTCTACCAACCTCGGACAGGCAGAGAGCAGGTACATGTTTTGTACAATAAAACATGTATGTACACTCACACACATATATATTTACATACATATATACACAGGAACAGCATAAACATAGACTTCTAGGTAAGTGCTAGGGTTTTGTTTTGAGTGGCTCTGTCTCGGCCATGCTATAAGGGTTAAGATAATACTGGTAGAGGAGAAATACACACATTCTTTGTACAGCGTGGATGAGCCTTCTTGGTTTTCTTCATTACTTTGTTTTCTTCAGGACACCTGCTGTGTGACCAGGGGTTTTACTGTGTGATAAGGTATTTATTTACATTAAATCCCACGTTAGGGAGAGACGTAGTGCAAGTCTGGCTGTCAGTCACTCAGGATGTGAACAAAAGACATGGGGAACACGCCTTTTCTGTCCGGATCTCCTTCAATGTGTCCGATCTGGGAAGAGAAGCAGAAAACGAAGGATGAAATCTCGAAAAGTTGTCAGGAAATCCAACCAGCGCCGCGGATATTTCTGCCAGAACTCACCCACCACTCCTGGTCCTCTTCTCCTGTAACTATGATCACCTCTCCTTCAGCGAATGTCAGCTCGTCGTCGTTGTCCGCCTGACAGTCGTAGATTGTCTTCACCCGCCGGGTTTTATTCTTACCCTGGACACACAAAAAGGAAAGCTGAAATAACTAATGCAAAACATCTTTTAGGGTGTTTTTAAATCAAAATAAGGAGAAACTGGAAGTGATTTCGAGATGGTAAGTCAACGACTAAACACTTTTCTTTTCCAGCAGTCATTGCAGAGTGGTAAAACCAGCAATGTGCAATCAATTAATTAATTACATAATAAATTAAAACAAGCTCAATAATTTCCATTTGGATGATTTATTGTTTTTCTCTTTTCTCTACCATTTTCTATTAAAATTTGCTGAAAAAGTATTCAGTCTGGTGCCTTGTTCTCAACCAGCCTTTTTAAAAAATGGGAATTTGGTTTGCAGAGACTAAAGTATACATTTTATTTGTTAATTTTGTTGTTTTATTTATTTTAGATATTTAAAAATGTTTTCAATTCCAGAGTTAAATGTTTGTTAGCATTTAAAATAATGCCATAGCCATTGTACATGACTACTTGAAAATGGGATCAAAACAACATTATCATTGGTTATTTCAATAACTTCTGCAAACAATTGATCAACCAGTAGAATTTGCTATTATAATAAGGAGTAGTTGCTTTCAATAAAATAACATTGTAGAATTCTCGTAAATAAATAAAAAGCTAAAAAGTGTTCATACTGTATTGATCTTCCTTGGGAGGCACCGGAGTCTCTGCGGTCCCTGGCGGTGTCCCGTTAGTGTCCTCTGCGGTTTGCTGTGATGGAGTCGCTATGTTCGCCACCTGCTGGTTGGGCGATGGCGAGTCTTGCTGCTGCGGCTGCGTTTGAGGTGGCGGGGGCGGCTGCGTTTGCGGCCTCTGCGCCGTTGAATCCCCAGCAGGGGGCCGGGGTGCAGACTCGGACGTCCCCGGTTTGGGATGCAGGTCCGCCAGGTGCGGCTTGGGGGGAAGGTCTTTGAGCTGAGGTTTGGGCGGCAGGTCGCCCAGCTGGGGCTTAGGGGGGAGGTCGGAGAGCTGCGGCTTGGGAGGAAGTTCTCCCGGCTTCGGGGGAAGTTCGGAAACCTGCGGTTTGGGCGGCAGGTCGCTCAGCTGGGGTCTGTCAGCCAGGGGCGCCTTGTGTGCGGTTTCGGTTGGAGGCGGAGACTTCTGGAAGACCTCTGGAGGAAGGCTGGGCTTGTCCACAGACGGATGGTGGATGGTGTCGATTTTTCTCAACGCCACTGGTGGGAAAACCATGAAAAAAAACGATAAACTAGGAGAATAATGTCAGAGAATATCCAAAATGTTGGTTTTAAAATACAAAATACTGGAATTTAACACAAATATAGAAGAGAGAAAGGAGGGAAGGAAGGAGTAAAAGAAGAAAGAAATGAAGGATGAAGGAAGGACAGAATTATGGAAGGAAGAAAGTAGAGAACAATAAGGAAAAGAAGAAGGAAAGAAAAACAGAAGAAAGGAAGGAAGAAGGACAGAAAAACAGAAGCAAGCAAGGAAGGACAGAAGAAAGGATGAAGGAAGGATAGAAAAATGGAAGGAAGGAATTAGAGAAAAGAAAGAAGGAAGAGAGGACAAGAAAAGGAAGGGAGGGAAGGAAAGAACCAAAGGATGAAAAAGAAGACAACAGGGAAGGAAACAGAATTTTCCTGTCTGAATCCTGAATGGAGCGATAAAGGTCGCACCTTTTTGAGGTAGTTTGGGAAGAACCCTTGGACCAAGTGTTGACTTCGTGTTGCTTGAAGTAGTGCTGAAAAAATGTCAAATTTCAGACAAGATTAAAACTCGTCTTGTTTTCACAAAGAAAACCTTCAATGACTAAAAAGCGACAACAGATGCGAGTCTGTTTCTGCGTTACCTTTGCTGCTGAGGAATGCCTTCAAACTTGTTGGACACGGGGACATCTTACTGACTGGTGGAGGGGTGGAGTCACTTCCTGAAATATTAACAGTGGCGACAACAACAAAGGAAAAACTGAACGCCACATCAGAGCTCGGCCGAGGAATTAATTAATTTGGTATAAATGTGGAAACAAATCAACATGCTGTGATGGTTAAAGAAAACAATGAGGGGAGGGCGTCTTCTGGCTGAGCTCTCCATGATGAATACGTCATCTGAACTGCTGCTATTTACGCTGTGGAGGGGTGGTGACGTGTGTGTGTGTGTGTGTGTGTGTGTGTGTGTGTGTGTGTGTGTGTGTGGTGTGTGTGTGTGTGTGTGTAGGGGTGTGTGTGTGTGTGTGTATGGGTGTGTGTGTGTGTGTGTGTGTGCGTGTGTGTGTGCGTGTATGACAGGATGGAGAAAAACAGTTGGATGAATAATTACAAGCCCAACAATAAAAAAAAGTCAACTTCTTATTGGTTTGAACATAAATCAAGCTTTTGCTAATTAAATACCTGCAATTAGCTTACTATGCTAGCAGTAAGTCCAGCTTTACTGCTAGCATAGTAACTAATTGTATATATATATATATATATATATATATATATTATATATAATATATATATATATACTTTTTAGCTTTTTATTTATTTACATACATATATATATGTATGTATGTATGTATGGATGGATTCAGAGAACGTCTCATCTACATCTCCATTCTGTATAGAAACTCTTCCTTCCCAACAGAAAGAGGCTAATAAACCATGTAAATATGGTTAAAGCTTCACCAACAGGAAACTCTTCAGAAGTCTGATGGAGAAAATGATTTTGTGTTTCTATTTTGCTTCCTACTCTCAAACAACAGCTCTTTATTTCCATCTGATTTCTGGAGCGGAGACCCCGAGTCGAGCCGGCTAGCTGCTGTTTCTCGTGTGCTTTGCGGTCTCACCCCCGATTACTGCGCCCCCTTTACTGTGCGGACTGTGAGAGAGCGGGCTGGGTGGGTCGGACAAGGTGCGTTTGTGTCCAGGAGGTGGGGGCGGAGGTCTCTTCTTGGACAGGGTGGAGCTGCCTCCTGGTGTGAGTGTGGAGGGAGGGCCAGATGGGGGAGGAGCTGGAGGAGTGACACATAAGACACATGAGGCGGTGAAGTCAACGAATCAAACAAACCTAGGGCTGGACAGCATGGCTGAAAAAAGTCTCACGACATAAGTGTTTCATATTGGTCAATATTAATAATTACTGATTATGGTGGACAGAAATGTATACATTTCACACCAGAATTTAGGCCCTTATTTTGAAGGGGCGAGAGAAGACTGGTTGTCATTTGTTTTTCTGTTGGAAGACATTGAGAATAAGGCGAGACTCAAAATACCTTTTTATCACTTTCTTCCTCAACACAAGCATCATATTTCTTGAAAATGCTCTCAAAAATTCAATATTATCGTTTACCGTAAAAACATCTGGGACAATTTATCTTCCAGCTAAATTTGTTATTGTGGCGACAGGCTTACTTTCTGGTTTTATCCAGAGTTTTCAATTTACACCGTTATTAAGCTTATTTTTAATTACTCAACAAGTTATTGCTAGGTAACCAAAGAGTGAGTTAGTTGATTCCTTGTTAAGCTAGCGAAAAGAAGTTTATTGAACACTCTCTATATTGAATATCCTATCAGATGTATCAATTACTGACATTGATCATATGTGTATTGCAATACATATTGTTATTGATTTATTGTCCAGCCCTAAACAAAGCCAACAAAAATAATCCCCAAGCGGGATGGAGGAGTCAGAACAAAACAGCAAAATGTTTGGATACAAATATAAACCACTGGTGAAAGGATGGATTTGGGATGCTTGTTCGGGTTTTCTTCCTGAATTATGTCTAATGGGACCTCTCTAGTTTACTAATGTAGAGTAAAGTAGGATGAAAGCAGCCAGTAGAGAGCTCAGCCAGAGGGCAATCAGCTGTGGTTAAAGGTTTACAGCTCAGCAATGGCAGGGCATCACTCCAGAAAGATTAAAAAATAACATAGGCAAGCAGTAATAGCGAGCCTACATGGTTCAACCACCAAACTGCGCATCTGAGCTGTAAAGAAGGAAACGAACCAAAGGGATGAAAAGGAGGGAAGAACGTAAACCAAGATATTCACTGATGTATGGTCGGGTGCCAGCCAGAGTGGCGTAGTGCGAATGAGAGCCAAGGAATGCCAAGTGTGGAGCTGAAAGAATAGAGAAACAAAAAAAGAGAAAAAAAACAGAGCGGAGAGGATGTGGGAGAGAATCTCTGAGCGAGTCGGCCTTTATGAAGAGCTGCTCCCACACGCTGGAAAATAAGATGAAACCTATCAGTGACAAGCAAAGCAAAAAGAGAGGAGAAAATGGCGAACAAGCCAAAGAGTTAGCAGGTTAATCTGTGAATGTTGCTTACCATCTCAAAGATCGACTTTATCTAACATGACCCAACAACAACAAACTGCAGCTATTCATTAAAATCAGCTTCGGAGAACAAAAAAAACTGAACCTTTGAACTGTTACGTAAACTTTTTCACATACTGCCAAACCAAACTTTAACTCATTTCATTGGAATATTATATACAGAGGAACTTCTAAACCAACTTTGGAGGAGCTGCAGAAATCCACAGTTTGGGTAGGAAACCCACCAAATCCACTTTTCCGCAGCAATCTCAACGGCTCAACGCTGATATTTTCACCCCCCAAAAAATCCAATTTGTGCTGCAAATGTATGTTGTTTTCAAAGCATCTGAACTCTGGACAGCAGATAAAACTCAACATTTATGTCACTGATGAATCATTTGTCATAATTCTGCACCAGAAGAATACAGGCGGGGTAAATCAGGACATAAACAATGGCTGAAAATCCTGCTTATAAATTATGAATAAAATTTAAATCACAATCAGACCCTCTTAGCTCTGACTTCACATCCAAACAGATTTGCTCAGAACTGAGATTCAATAGGATGGCTTAGAGCCAATAATCCATGTGCTACATTGGTCTAGTCAAATTCCGAATAAAATTTTGTGACAATCTGTCTGAATTTGAGCTAGAATTGGCATAAACCTTTAAATATGCTTCTATAGAAAAGACTCAAGAAGCTGAATGAAATCTCTGACAATTTTTAAAAAGTCATATTCACAATTATAGCCTACTTATAGGTTGGCGGCGCTAAGTTATAACAACAACAAAAATCATAAAAAAGTGAAGTTTGTGACTACAATGTGACAAAATGTGGAAAAATTCAATTGGTGTGTTTCTTTTTGAAGCCTTCAAACCAGTAGAGTTCATTTCCTTTCCCAATAAACAGCAGAAACAGGAACAGAGTTGTAAATAAATGCACAAAATGTCTTCAGTTAGAGACCATGTACATGACAAAGAGGTCAGCTGAAGGAGCTGAACGTCCACCATGAGACAGCCAACACACTGATTAGATTTCTGGCCAAGATGAGGCAGCACAGTTCAGCTCTTTATTAGATTTGAACAAATTCACACTTCAACAGGCTGCGCTGAGCTCAATTACAGATGTTCTGGGAACCAAGAAAAACTATATTCTTTTTGTGACATTACATTGTTTGGTTTTAACAATTATAACACTTGTTATTTTTTATGACTTCACCAGATATAATATTTATTATTTTTCCTTCCAACTTAGCTTAAGCATCATTATAAAAACTCACCCTGACAATTTTCCGAAAGCTAAAAAGTTAATGTTTCTTCTGTGATTGGAAATAATTGAGGTTCTATTTGGGTTTAATTCAAGTTAATAATTCAGACATTATCCTGTTGACAATGGGTACAGAGGCAAAAGAAATCAGCTTAAAATCTTTCAGCTTTATTAGTCTTCATCAGTGACTTCCTGGTCTGAAGCTCAATTATACTTTCTGAATAGTGAAAAAAGCCACATGCTAACGCTACCAGCTCAAGCTAACAGCAAAACTCTTTCCTGTGGAAGTTGTTACTGAGTGAAAAATACACAATGTTAGTTGTTTTAAGTACATGCGAGAAGTTTTAAATGAAGTCAAGAGAGGAGAAGATAACAGGAAGGTCACGCAGAGTAAAGCAAAGGTAGTAATGCTAACTGCGCTAATTGTAATATACAGTTAAAACCAGATGTTTATGTACACTGAATAAAAAGAATGTGTATAAAGTGAGATATTGGTTCACATAAGTAGGAGTCAGCAAAAATAAACAGAAAGTATTGCTGTAAATAAAACAAAACTGGTGCAAAAAAAGACTTTTCAAAAAGAAACAGAAGAGCTATCATAAAATTTTTGACAATTGTATTAACTGCAGCTTAAAGCTTAAAGGTCTGTTTTGCTCTGCAGCTGACACTGGGATAACAACAGATTAAACAGCTTATGCAGCATTTTGTGATGTTTTTGAAACTGATGATGTTGTGACAGAGGGAGGAGTGTTATTTTTAATTGCAATACTGCAGAAACAGCACAGCAACCATAATTGAACAAAGTGTGTTTCCAGCGTCCCTTTCTTTAACACAATCATCACCTGCCTTGTCCTGAGCCTCCAAGTTTACTTTATAAGTAATCCTAATGACACCTGATTTACGCCCTCTGATCTGTGTGCTGACAAATTGCATACCACTATAGGGTGTGTGCGTGTGTGTGTGTGTGTGTGTGTGTGTGTGTGTGTGTGGTGACTGAGCAAAGTGGAAACTTCCCACTAACCTCCTGGTAATTCTCTCCTGATAATAAATCCATATATGTTCAGATTCTCTCTACTGTAATAACACACACTGCAAAAACACAAAGTCTATATTTTTGGTGAAGTTACTGGTGCAAATGCCTTATTAGAATTGAAATAAGACAAAAGTAACTTGCAAGTAAATTTATAGGATATAGCAGCTTTTTTAGTCAATAATTCCTTAATATTGATGAAAAAGTTATAGTTTCACTCCCTTGATTAATTCACAAGCAAAACTAGAACTTTTTCATCAATATTAAGGAATTATTTCTTAAAACCTTCCTATATCTTGCTGAAAAGTTACTTGTCGACTTTGTCTTATTTCAATCGTGCTAAGATAGTTGGACTATATACTTGATCAAAACACTTGGTAAGATTTTGAGTTTTTGCAGTGCACAACCTTTCATGCCTCATTGGATTAGAAGCTCACATTTGCATTGATATCTGCAGGATCCTGAATTAGAATTTCAAAAAGCAGATAAACTCTGAAATCGGCCTGGAATAACAGCGGACGCTCTTGGAGCAGGCATGTCTGACCTTTGCCCTGGTTCCTGGGCGGCAGCGGCGGCCCGTCAGCCACTGGGGAGGAGCTGAGGTCGGTGGAGGCGCTGTACATCTGGTTGGTGAAGGCGCTGTAGGAGAGCCGCTGCTGCTTATCCCTCTGGCTGATGAAGCCGGGCAGGGAGCTTGTCGTGGGGCGACAAGCTGGAGGAGTGGCAGAAGCTCTGCGGTCGGGGAGAGCGGTCCTTCTTGATGGGACTAGGCTGGAGAGTGACGTGGACAAAGACACTGATCAGTCTCAAAATGACTTCCTGTAAAACTTCCTGAACATAAAAACCTGGAAAACTGGAAAATAAAATACATCTTCTCTGTCAGTTGTCCCCTAAAGAAGTTTACTACTACTTATATGGGTGTACCAAAAACACAACGCAAAGGTTCCTGTTCAGGACTTTATTTTTTATTTATTTATTTTTTCTAGTATTTTTGTATATAGAAAGACTTTATCCATTTAAGGTCGTACATGAGGAAGGAAGCAGAAAGTCCAAGTGGTTTTATCCAAACAGCATTTCTGGTACTTTCTTTTACAAGTCGTTACTCATTTAACTTGGGAACGATAAAAACAAACAGAATTGAACAAAAATGGGGAGCACCACCTAAAATAATAAATACCATAAAAACAAAAACTGTTCCGGACTTTTTACATGCAAAAAAGAAAAACGCAAATAATTACGTGAAGATTTCTAATGCATTAAATTAGTTAATATAAATTAAGGCCTGGCCTTGACTTTTATGCTTCTGTTTTTAAATTTTGTTTCTTAAAACCAGAAGATGTGGAGACATAAAGACCGTGTCATCACCTTGTCGTCCAGGTCGTCGTCGCTCTCGTCCATCTCCTCCAGTCTGAGGCTCCACTCGTACTCCACATGGATGTGAGGATTGAACTTCCCTTCTGCAGCCTGGACGAGCTGAATCAGAGAAAAATAAGCACAAAATCACTCAAATCAACATCTAAAATAATGCTTTGTGAAAAACCCTACCTTTCGTGTCTTCTGTGAATAAAAGCACAAAGGCCTGTGGCTATGACAGGAATGTCATGAGTTAGATTTGCAAAAGTATTTACACACCTTTACCTTCTTTATATTTACTGAATTTAGTGGCATTTCTGTGGAAAACCAAATGTAAAGCATAACTAAGAAGACTTCAAGTGTCTTTGACTCACTTTTATTGTTTATTTATATTTCTTTCTGGCAAAACAAAATAAGAAAAGCCTTTTCCTTTAGAACCAATTAGAGATTGGTGAGCTGGGTTGCAACAAGTGGAAAAAAAACAAATAAAAATTGTTTTAAACATTTTATTTTATGACTAAAAATATGTTTCCAGCTCCAGAACTCCTTTTTCTGCAATTACAGCTGCAAATCTTTTACCAAATGTGTTAATTTACATACTGATAATGTTCAAGTAAAGCCACAGCATGATACTTTCACCACCATGCCTTAGGATGAAAGAATCTTCACCACAGGCCATATTTGTAGGTTGCAGAACTAATACTAGTGATGTTAAAATACAGGGGGCTCAATACAAATGAATGCCACACTTTTCAGCTGTATATTTGTGAATCAATCAATCAATCAATCAAGTTGATTTGTATTGGATATTTCAGCAACAAGGCAGTTCAAAGTTTTTTACATCATAAAAACACAAAAATCAATAACAAGTGCCATCATTGCACATCAGAATCTTGATTAGTGTTTAGTGTTGTGAATGATAAAAATAGTTTTTATCCAATTCACAATCAAGCACTACTTTGTGTTGGTAAAACATAAAATACATTGAAGTTTGCCGAAGCTACGTAAAATAAGAGGCTGTGCTGTGTGTTTCAAAAAATAAATGTAATATGTATTTTAAATTCTACATACAGTGGGTGCAAAACAGTCTGCTCATATTTGCATTAATAACAAGCACATTAATTTCTTCCACTCTGTTGTCCCAGTTCCCTGAGGCTCAATACAGACTCAACACTGCCATCTAGTGTTCTCGCTAAACACCTCCATTTCTCCTCAGTATCAATCCTATCTGTTTGTTTTAAGCTCTAAAAATCTCTAATTTGACCAAACTGATGTTTATGTTTTTAGTGTATTTTTATGGCTTTAACCGGAGGGTTTATTTTTGTATTTTCTCCTCCGACATCCATCGTTTCCAGCAGCACTTACTGCCTCCTCGCACTGAGTGTTCCTCAGTCGCCTGGCAACATCCAGGGCCGTCTCTCCGTTCTGATTGGCTGAGGAAAGGGAAAGAGGCAGAAAAAAAAAGAAGAAAATGATTAACACTTTGAGGTTGATGCGTGCGCACGGACGGCAGAGGATGAGCGTGACTCACCGATGTCGGTGGCCGGCTTGCCTCTCAAGAGCAACTTGAGGCACTCGGGCTTTTCGTACATGCAGCAGTAATGCAGGGCGGTGTTCCCCCACTCGGTCTGCTTATCCAGGTTACCACTACAGGAAAAAACACTCTGATTCCTCACTTTTTGTATCTGTCTGACATGCAATTATGCACCATTTTAAGAAATAACATTTAATAAGTGCGGTTATTACTTAAACCTTTAACTCTGTGGCGGGTAAGCAATTGGAAAAAGGGAATAAATTAAAGCAGAGAGCAAGAGCTTGACCCATTTCTTTTTGCCTTGTGGGAATCTGAGCAGAGCAGCACTAAGCCTACCTTTGCTCTTCAGCTTCATATAAAAAAAAGAGTCTAATACAATTTGTTTCTGCAGACAAGTTTTCCTTCTCTTGCAGATATAGAGTTAATTCACACATATATGGATTAATTCTTTGCTACCTGTTCTGCACAAGGAAGTCCACCAGATGCAGAGAGGTCTGGTCAGAGGTCCGGACAGCGTAGTGCAGAGCTGTCTCTCCAGCTTCCTGCAGGGGGCCATCAAACACAGCAGAGCCATACTCAGGCAACATCCATTCTGTATTCTGTGGTGTGTGTGTATGTGTGTGTGAGGGTTTTGAGGATTTAAACAAACTGCAGTAAACAAAATGGCTCCTAAATATAGCAATTCTGCATTGTTAAAGCTGTGTTTTTGCAAAATTTTGCCTCTAAAAAAGGTTTTAATTTCACAAACAGGGATGGAAATATGAGAAAACTATTAGTACATTCACCTTTGAAAAGGTCAAAGGATGGACTAGCCTTTTTATGCCGTGTAAAGCCAGGCTTTGGATGTCACTTTGCAGCAATCAGAGTTACTGACAGCAGCAGATCAGATAGTGGTGACTCAGACTTCACAGTGCAGACGACAGCAGCGGCAGCAACTCCCTTCGTCACCAAATCATATCCTCTCTCATCCTTGTTACTCTCCTGCACTGTCGCACACCTAATTTTTTTAATCAGAGGAACTACCGTGTTAGCTTTGTAAAACCCTGACCCATTTATGTCGGATTAAATCTGATCACGCGTGCCGTCTCCACCGCCCGTTATTTAACTTTCATTAAACGCCTGAAGAGGCGCCGCAAACGGAGAGCAAACTGCAGGAAACGGGCAGTGCGGCAAAATAAATAAAGAAGAAAAAAAACAGACACAAAAGCACATGTGTCGCCATTTAAGGGAATAAATAATCGACACAGATTTTGCAGATCAAAGTGGCAGTGGTTTGCTGGCTAGCAGCACCTGCTGTGGTAAAGTCTGTCAGATGACTCAGACTTTTTCCAGTCGCTTACACCCATTTCTTTCCTGGAGTTGGTAAAAATATCTTATTGTTGGGTTTTTCAAGTCACTTAATGATGAAACTCTCTGCGATCTGTGGACTACTAGGAGTTTTAAGTGGATGTTTTACTTCATAAATCTGTGCCTGAGAATTTAATTGATTTTTTTGCATTCATTGGTAGTTTAATGAATGCAAAACTTGGAGTTGATGATTTTAATGTGTGACTCGGTAGGCAGTTTTTTCTTGCATTTTAGTGAATCACAACCAGCCAGGCTGCAGAACAGAATCTCAGTATAATGCCTAACATCTGGTGCGGCATTCTTATATTTGGAGGCCTGATGTTGCATCCTACAAGTAAATGTAACTTTACTGTGGACAAATAGTGGACAAAAACTTTATATAGCTTCTATATAGCTTTAGTTAAAGCTATATAGCTTTAATAAAGCTTCTATATAGCTTTACTAAAGCTATATAGAAGAAAAACATGCCTATTATAATAAAAATACAAATAAATAAAAATATATATGCATTTAGCTGAAAAACAAAAGGTGTAGGAAGAAGATTCACTTATTTATTCTAACTTTTATTTGTATGTATAAATTGTGTGGCTGCTATTGTACTTTGTGTTATGAACAAATATTTTATGTCACTCTTAGCGTCATTACCGAATTAATATTTTAACTATCATGCATTACTTATTAATTATATAATATGAAGTGTGTGTATCTGTTTCAAATATGAATACATTTATATTTAGTAATTCTGTTAATGTATTGGTGCAAACGGGAATCATAATTAATTTGAGTCACAACCGTTACCTTTGTCTGACTCCAAATCTTTTACTATTTCTGAATAAGATTAAAATAAAAACAGTGTGGGGAAAAATAAGAGATGTATCTGATTAGAACAGGAGAATGAAGAGGTAATCAGCACCAAAGAAATAATCAGTGAGACCTTTTGAGAGAAAAAATAATAATCACACCTTTTATTTCCTTATTCTGTTTTTGGTCTTTCTGTGGAGATGCTTTCAACCTAAACTTCTTCAAAATTTGTTCTTTGTTTATTGAGACAAATTAAAGCATTTCTGTGATTTACAATAAGCCTGTCTTGGTTCTATAATGCATAATCTCTGCATATTTAAGAGGGTTTCTTTGGTGTTTTTGGATGAACCTAGCAAAATACAACACTGGTTTATCACTTCAGTCTACGCAAACTTTTAATAATTGAATAATTTATATGCATGGATCAGCTGGCTTAAACTGACATGTGTCTGTACAAGGAAAATAAAAAGTTTATGTCAATTGTCATTTTAAATTAAATGTGTTCATTTCCAGAGCACGCCTTTCAGCTTGATCTCACATTTAAGAAAGCAAAATGGAACAAAAAATCAAAACATGGTTGTGCAGACACATTTGGCTTCATGTACCAACAGAACTCTGTGGACATGCTCAGAGGTGACGCAGTGGTTCCACTCACCGGTCCTGCCTCAGGCAGCGGCTCCATCAGCTCCACCCCCTCGGCGTAGACCTGAATGAGAGCCAGCAGGTCCCGGGTCTGGATGGCCTCAAACAACTCGATCATCTTGGCCGCCGCCGACGTGCACGTCTTCTTCGCGTACTTGTGGTCCACGTACTTGGCGTTGATGAACTCCTTCCTCACCGTCCTGAGGACAAAGTCGAGTTTCTCAAGAAGGTTTTCTGTGAAGGAGACGCCCGGTTGGGAGAAGTACTTACATGTCACTTGAGGGGTTGGGTTTTGGAGAAGGGGAGGGGAGGTTGGCCTCCATGATTTCATTGAAACTACTGTTTCCTACATTCTTGGCCAACTGAGAGAAAGACAAAAACATGCAGTCAGATCTGATTATTACAATTAACAAGCTGTAATTAATCTAGATGAATGGATGGACGGACGTCTTAAATTAGTAAAAAGCAGCATGACCCAAAATCCAACATAATAATCAGTTATTAGTGAGCCTCACCAACAGTTCTGAGGTCCCCAGCTTGTCCAGCTCCATGGACTGGATGCGGGAGATGTGGACGCCCATCTCACGGTGGATCCCAGAGCATTCGATGCAGGTCAGGATACCCAGGTTGGTGGACAGCCACTTCGGCTCTGCAATAACGGGAACCAGAGTTTAATACATATGTCAGACTGAGCAGTGAGAACAATTTACTGCAGAATATGAAATGAGTTGCCAGAAAATAATGAGAAATCCAAACTGAGGCCATCGGCGTCTGACTAAAATAACAGCAGGAGTTCCAAGTTGATTTGACAGCTTTATTAATACACACACTTCACCTTTTACGATATTTATGTTAGGCAACAATTAAACAGAGGAGTGGTTCCTGAATCTGGATACTATCACAGCAAACAGATCTCTAACATGATCACCAGGAAACTAGATTGCCAAGTCATGTAAAAAAAGAAAAAGATATGTTAATTTCTTATTCCCCTTCTAAAAGGGTGAAAAACTAGTTAAGAAAAAATGACAAAAATATTTAAGATCAATGAAAACATGGATGGATGGATGGATGGATGTACCTTGTTTATTCTAGCTGTTCATTTTGTCATAACTGAGATAAAAACCGATTTAGAAATGGATAAATCAACGTTTCATTGATCTCTGCTGTCACCAGATGTTTGTTCAAGTGGTAACTAAGCAACATTTCAACATTCAACCAGAGACATCTGGTCTCACAAATTAAAAAAACAGCTCAAACATCAGAGAACCACTAACCAAGGTAAGCATCACTATGTTAGTCAGCTATAGCTCAAAAACAAACAAGTCGACCAGATAAACACAACGACCAGATGTTAGCCGGTGACAGGCCAAAGAGAGCATGTTGGGCATGATGAGTGAATAACTGCAGGGTGACCTCTGACGCTGAAAATCACACACAGGAAAAGGAGCAGGATCTCAGCTTCAATAACAACCTCTTTCTTCTCTAGCCAAAGTAGTGCAATGCTAAGAAATGAGACATCTGAAACACATTTATTAACCAAATCTGGGCGTATCGATGGATGCAGCAACAAGAGGACAGACGCCACAAATTGCCTCCCTCCCCTCAGATTGCAGAGGTCAGCGGTGCGTGTGCGACTTATGTAACAAAATGATGTAAGCCTTGAAATGTTTTTTTTTATTCTTCAGAACTTAAAATTCTGCCTTTGGTCAGTCAGAAAGCTGCTGATGGTGTGTGTGAACACCCTGCACTGTCAGAAGCCTGAATGTTTGCAGGCCTCCAGAGTGATGACTCGTTGCTTCATGCTATTAGCTTTAGCATTCACACTCTGATTTATTCAGGACAAGATACATTTACTTGAGTAACTTTTAAAAAAAAATTACTTTCTGTTTTTACTTGAGTAATTGTATTATTTTATTATAAAATATCTTGAGTAATATTTAGAATTTTCTACCCACTGAATGAAAAAACATGTTTTAACCAAAAATTCACCAGACACAGACACACACCTGCAGTTTTATTTTCATTAAAAATACTGATATGGGGAAAATTTTTATAAAATCTCATTTAGTTATATTTGTCATTTTGTTCCTTAATATACCAAAACGTCCACTTATACTTTATAATTTGGTCCATATGTAATGTAATTTTTAAACATTAAATGATGCAATAATTGGAACAATTACTCAGTACTTCAGTAGACTTTTAACCAAATACTTTTTTATTTTTAATTGAGTCAAATTTCTGGATTTTCTCCCCCTATTGAATGAAACCAAAAATTCACCAGACACAGAAACACACCTGCAGTTTTTGTTCAAGTTTTATAAGTTTTTAAGAAAAGAAACTGATTTAGGAACATTTTCTTTTGCCTGATTTTGTTTTTTCTTTGTTATTTTTATTAATTTTTGTCATGTTTGTCCTATATTTTGGTCCATCTGATGATGTAATTTTTAAATATTAAATGATTGATAATTTCATCAGTTACTGAAGACTAGAGTAGACTTTTTACCAAATATGTTTTTACTCTTACTTCTTAATATACTGAAGTAGTGCAGGTCTTACTTGAGTATAATATTTAGGTACTCAGGCGATCTGCAGTCAGACAGAGTGAACTGTGACTCAGCAAAAGTGGCTTGTTGGTTTAAATAAAACATTTCCAACTAAGAGGAGGAATCTGGCTCCTCTTCTCAGGACAAGGTGAGGCTTGACTCAGCACTGTGTCTCTGTGGACGGCAGCAGCACAGACCTGAAGCTCCGCAGTCACAGCAGATCTCGTTGCCTGGCATGCGTAGCACGTCTTCTATGATGGCCTTAGTCAAGTCCTCTAATCCGTCCTCCCCGCCGCTGCTCTGCTCACCTCGGAAAGCCATGTTTAAAGCCTCCTCTTTGCTGTTGGTGAGCACGGAGATCCATCTGCAAAACGGGACAGAGTTATTGTCCTGAAAAATAAAAGTTAGAACACAAACAGAAACAAATTGCATCATTTTTTATTGTGCCAAAATCTTACAAACATGGCATGTTGGAAACTATAAACAGTCCTTCGTGGCTTCTATTCAGCCAGATATTCAGATATGCGGAGTTCATGAGTTCACAAATTTTCCGATAAACAATGCAATCAATAACTCGAAAATGTGCATTTCCTATGAAAATGCAAGAGTGAATGCTGAATGCTCAATGCTGAATGCTTTTGGTGAAAATGGCAAAAGCATTTGAAGCCAACTACTGAAGACTTGCAGAAAGGTAAGAAATAGTCCATGCAGCATGAAAAACCCAAGTAAAAGCCAAAATTAGCTAAAAAGCTACAACTAGGTAAAATACTAATGATAGCATCTAAGACGACACTATTACCTGGGTTACAGTAATATATTCAATGTAAAAAAAAGAAGTAAAACCTAAAATTTGAAAAAGACAGAAACATCCCCTTATTCCTTCTGATAAAAACGGTGGATGAATGAAATCCATATCATTTATGTTTTCTGAGATGTTGACATTTATTTGGGGACATCGTTTAGCACGATGGCTACAAAAAACATGCCACAAAAAACATTCACACTAAACGTCTATCAGCAGGTAATTGGCCATTTTAATTGGATCAGGGATCATAATCTGTTATATTTCATTTGCAAAAACTGTCCCCAAAAATATGTTTAATAAACATTATTTTTATTCATCAAAATATTTCACTATAAGAGAAATAAACTGATATGCAAAAACGCATTAGTACAAAGTAAATCCTTTAGGAGCATTTTCATGCTTGATCACATAACAAATCTAAATAGTTAGTTTTAAAGAAAGGGTCATCAACAGAAAAGAAAATAAGTGAAAGCATAATCTTTGAAAAATCTCATTTAGAGACAGGCTGCTGCATCCTGGGTGTAAAAAGAAGCATAATCACAGATCCTTCCTCCTATCCTTTCTCCTCACCACTCCCAACAAACTCAATGAGTTTTTATAATTCTGCTGTTATTTGCACAGTTTCTGACTTCTTGCTTTTTAATGCAAATCTTGAGCATTTTCCTTTCTAAATTAACCTACTCAGGTCTGCATTTAGTCAGAGTATGCATTTATTTTCTTATGTTATGAATTTTCATGCTGTGGGACAATAAACGGTATTTCTATCTTATCAAGACACCTATAAACTAAGAGGAAAATCTCATTGCAAACAAATTAAATACATTTTCATAACCAACTCCAAAGTCCCTTTGTTTGGACAACATAAAAAAATTGGAGACAAACTAACATTTTCCCAACAATAAAGAAGAGCAAAGCTATTTCAACTCTTAATTTCTGAATATGATGTTCTTGCCTTTGGTCTATTTCTGCTTGTAGGTTTGTTTTCTCTGAGAACAAGGTCAAGTGACTCAAAAAGAAACACCCACGCAGGACTGTGGTCACTACCCATCACTCAGACAGGAAGCACTGTAGCTCCCTTTCAAACATGCCCTGTGCACTGTGCTAACCCTTCATCGCTCACCGCACATTTATATGCCAAAGCTTAATGAGACTGACATTTGGACTTCATTTGTTTCGCCTTTAAAGCTGTGAAGAGCCCCTACAGAATGGGCAAAAAAAGATCTGTTAGATTACATGTATATTATGGGAAGAAATTAGGCTATTTTAAGCAACAGCTGAATTAAAATGTGAAGTTTAATGTGCTTCTAATCCAGCTGAGGCTTAAGGTGGGTGCACAAGCAGTGGGATAATGGATTTTTCTAAGGATTTTTCTAACATCCAGGCACATCATTGGAGAGTATATGCATCAAAAAGGATGACCACAGTTTCATGTGATCAGAAAAAAAAAAGACTATCCCAAAAGGAAAACAGGTAGGACTTTCTTTAAAGGGATGTGTACAAGACTGACATAACATTATGGTGTGCCTGTGTCTTATTTGCATTTGCCATCTATTTGGCACTATGAATTATATTAAGACTGCATGAATACTTGAAAGTAAAATTTAGCACTGAAAATGTGGATGAAAGTAAAATTTAGCACTGAAAATGTGGATGAAATCCTTGGAATATTAGTTTTGTAAATAAAATTGTTTTTTGTAAGAACAAACTGGATTTTACCAATTAAATTGTTTTTTTTTATTGAAACTGTTTGAAAAGTTGGTCAAAAGTCCAGATTACCAGATGGGATTATTATTACTTTTTTTAAATACTCACATGACAAACTCTTGTTCGTCTTCAGCTTGAAAGTGATATGTCCGGTTATCTGCAGAGACCACAGACCAGCGTGTCAAGCATGTAAATCCAATGTTTTGCATTTCATAACACAATGAGCAGCAACCACAAGTTAAACAGTTGAGAAATGTCATAAACTCAGAGAGAAAACGGTTTGCACACATTCATTTTCCTCCCAAAGGGATTTTTACAGTTTGAAGGTATCAAGCTTGTCTAAAACTATCATTTGAATCCTAAAACTAATAATATCTGGGTTAATAATAAACATAAGTATCTATTAACAATTTGCATAACCGTTTACAAAGTCTTTAGGGTTTTTTTTTATTACTTATTTATAATTTCAAAGAGCACTGAAGCATGAAGAAATTTATTTCACAATGAAAACAATAAATCGCATATTTATTTCTTGAAAAAGTAAAGCCGGTTAAAATTTTCAAACTAATATTTATTCAGAACTTGAATACTTTTTTCCTTTTTGTATGCACGAACTTTGCACATTTCTAAAAAGTTCAGGTAAGCAGAAAAATGTAAGATTTTTTAAAACTTACGTGAAATTAGGTCGAAGCATTTTCTGTCCTCAGAGCTGGGCTTCACCTGGCAGGTGAGCAGGTTGAGTTTGACAGGCTGCCTGTTGGACTGAAAATATAAAGAGACTTAGGTCCTGTATATTTACTTAGAACTGAATACATTATAAGTTGATATTTTATAAGTTTTGTTTTTCTACCGCTTCTTGTTCAAGTGACTGCAATGATCCAACATGTAAAAATGAGAAATACTGCTGGAGATTGCACCTGAAAAACACTATAAACTATATCACAATGAAGAGAATTATTTGTTTTCTCCAAACAATAAACAATATAAAAGATGAAACCTTTTATCTAAATTATTTGAATATTTGTTGCAAACATGTTTCAGCTCCTCTTGTAGCTTTTTTAGAACTATCTTTGCAATTTTAGCTTTGAATTATTTATAAAACTGAAGCCTGGATCCCCAGTTAAGGACCTGGACTCGACTATTCAGTAATGACACACCTAGTTGGCACAAGCGCAGCGATCATCGTGTCCTGCCAGCGTCCGGGCAGAGGACAGACCGGGGCACGTGCTAATGAAATGCTAACAGGCTGAGATAAGCCTTGCAGCCAAGTTTGCCGGCTGTCAACTGAAGTCACCAAGAGTTCAGATGAAGAAGAACAAATAGAAAGGTGGCAAACTGCCGTCACATTAAGATAAACGATAAGTTTAATATGTTAACCACAAGTGGGCTTCAGGAAATGTAAACATCTAGTCAAACTGTGCAACAGACCAACATACAGCAAGTTTTTAAAAAGTTATTTTTAGGTAATTTCTTCTTCTGGACATGTACACAAATAGAGAGGTGCGAGACACAGCTGTAGAAAAAATTTACAACTTTGTCTTCGAATCATTAGAATCCTTATACAAACACAAATCTAACCCCTTCATGCTGTGTTACAGCTGCTAAACAATCCAAGCTTAACAGAACCACTAAGTCAGTTCAACACTGAAACTGCAATACATATTATAACCTTTCATATATTCTTTCTTATATAACTTTCATGTATATCGTTCACTGGCACCAAAATTCTTTCAACATCAAATGAAGGAAAATAAATGACAGTTTTTTTCACTCTTTCGGCTTTTAGCTAATATATTTCTACTGTTAGCTATGTTTTCTCCCATATTTGGGAGAAAAATGACTAAGTTTTCTCCTGCTCCTAGCAATTTTATACAGGTTTTGTCTCACTGTTAGTGGGGTTTGCTCAAGTTTTTTCTTGGTTTTGGTATGTTGAATTGATTTTTTAAACCCGTTAGCAAAGCTAATGCGGTTAGCTAGGTTTCCTCCTGCTGTTAGCTAGGTTAGGGATGCTTCTCTTTGCTGTTGCATAGTTTCCCAGATGTTTCCCTGCTGCTAGCTGTGATAGGAAGTTTCAACTGTGCTTATTTGTTGTATTTCTTTAGATGCTGGAACTTGCTGATTAAAAGGCAGACAATTTAAGGCAAGAAACTAACTAAAAGTGTAGGTGATAAATAAAATTTTAAAATGCTAAATGTATGAACCAGCACTACAGGAGTTGCCACTGCTGGAAAATAAACATGCAAATTAAAGTCTGTAAAACTTTTTATAATTCAGCTTCTTGCAGCCACAAGGAACTGAATCATAATTGTTGAAGGTTATTTTAATAACAATACTGAAATGTCAAATATGTGATTCATGCTGATGTTAGTGTGAGGCGTAGCAAAAATTTATTAATGTTTTTAAACTCTTTCACAAAGGGCCACAGGGAACAGGGTTAGGAAAACAAAACAGTACATATTATTACTGGAATTTATAAATTATTCTTTTTCACCACTTGAAATAAAGTCATTCACAGGACCAAATTATTTAAAATAACTAAACTAGATGATAGTTATTTTAACACCCTGAGTGAATTTAGGTTTATGAAGCCATTCAGGACGGTGTGAATTAATTGAACTCCTCATGTGATTCAATAAATTTTAATAAATAAATAAATATTCCCTGCATCCTGAATGGAAGCGGAAAAACCAGGCTGATCTGCACAAGAGTGAGGCCGGCGCTCAAGATGTGCCAGCTTAAACAGTACGCACACACTCCATCAGGGATGAGTCACCGCGGCGCAGCAGGCAGCAGGAGGAGGGGTGCCGATGGGAGGAGGGACAGGAAGAGGGGCAGTTTCCATGGCAACCTATCTATGTCAATCCAACTCTGCCTGCTCCAGATTGGAAAAGCCCAACACACCCTCTCCCCGTACAATGTTCTGCTTTTGATCGCACAGTCACACTCCTGAGGGGTTAGGAGAGTTCACACGTCTGCGTTCGGGTGTGCGTGTGTGTGTGTGTACTCACTGTGGCATGAGAAATGGTGAGGATGCCTCCCTTCACCGAGCACTGCCTCCTCTGCCACACCTTCCTCAGCCTGAGAGAGGATGTCCCATTAAGAGAGGGTTGACATTTGCCGTATGTGCATTAAATTTTAATGGTGCGAGCACAACGGCGTTTGCAGCTTACCCGTCACTCTTCTTCAGCAGGTAGCCTTTCTTCTCACTACCAAACTCTTTGTTTCCCTGCAGCTGGTGCATGCTGTAGCCACCTTGCTTACTCTGCGAGTCCTGTGTTGAGCCAAATAAAACATATCCACGAGATTGAAGTGTAAAGATAAAAACACTTTTAGGAAATTACTTTTGACGAAAACATGCAAGGAGGACCCAGACACACTATAGACACGTTGCATGTTTTTATTTATATCTGGAAATTTTGCACTGGAGGTCAGTAGAACCATTATGTTGACAAAATGAAACTTGAAGATGTTAATTTAGTGCAGCAAAGGGAAAAACAACGCAGAAAAACTACTGAACAACAACTCATAGCAACTCGTGTTCTTCTTTATGCCTGCTCTTTGCTAGCTGCGCTACACACAGACCCATTGCCACAGCAACTGACTCACAACAGCTCAAAAAGTGTATCAGGATTCAACACCAAAAAGTTAAGTCAAACAAAACAGTCAGTCAAAGCACAGTACTATTAGTCCTCGGCATTCCTGACTTCAGTAGTCGTAATGTAACTAAAACCGAGCACTGTCAACCGCACAACATTTCTAAAACATCAATAAGCACAACCAGAATTAATCCATATTAATTCAGAAGAGGGGCTCATTTTACTCTAGAACAATAAATAAGGTGTCCTGTTGTGTTTTGATACAATTAAAAGACTTTTATAGTCCAGAATATACAATAATAAGTGATCGTTGAACACAGCAGTGGTTGATTAGCTAATTCAAACACCTACACTACTAATGAACTGTCAGAGTTGGTGTGTAGGTCACCTTGTTTTTGTTTCTGCTGAACCAAAACACCAGATTCCACACCACATCTACATGCTAAGTTGTCAAAGTCAAGCTAGCATAGCTGACCTACTTCCACACTGTTATTTTTTAAGATGTTAAACGTGATACCTTTGATGCTTATCTAGACAATTAGCAACAAAGTACTGCACGGGTGAATCACGTACATGTAAGATTTAGCGCCTTGCGTTAACAACTTGACAGCTAAAACTAACGCTAGTTATTGACAGTAAATGTGATGTCACGCTGCAACGTGTCTATAACACTTCAGTGGAGGGACTTTTATAAGAAAACAGAAATAACTTTTAAAAAGGCTGCAAGTAAACAGCATGCTCTGCAACACCCTTGCACAGTCAAACCACAGCATGCTCAGACTTACTCTTCTAGACTTGATTCCAGACAAGCAGAAAGCAGTAAAAAGGAGATAGAAGGGAGAGGGGTGAAAAATCTGGCTCAAGTGGAGGTAGTGGCTGTGAAGAAGTGGACTCTTCGGGTAAAGCTTAAAAACTTACTGAAGGTGCGATTCAAGCAACTGATTATACATAATTTTGTGCGTTTGAGTGGATCAAATGTGCAAATGTGTAGAAACAGGCAGTGTTGTTAGTTTTTATGGGAAGTGTGACAGTGAGGCCCTGAACTGGGCACCAGTGTGGTGCAGCGTTGGGCACTGGCCAGAGTGAGAGGAAGCGTGTGGTGAGACCAAAGGCTGAATCAGAGCAGCCGTGGCTGTTTTTAAAGCCGGTCTGCTCAGAGTTTGGGTTAAATTTGGCCCCAACGGGAGGTGACATGCATACCTCTTCTTCTGGTCCAACTGGAGGGAGGACTTGATCAGATCCCGCAAAGCAGTCAGCTGTTTTTTTTTCCTCGTCCTGAGTTTGCTTTATCTGACGACAGAAAACACTTAAATTAGAACATTTAGTTATAGGATTCACAAACAAAGCAAGACAACTAGGAATACTTTATTTGAAGGCTGACAAGGAATACTTTATTTGAAGGCTGATAAGACTGACATGACTCATTATTCACTAAATAATTAGATTTTTAATGTAAAATTACATAAAAAGTCCATTAAAAATGTCAATTTTGCATTAAAAGAATAATTAATCATCAAATGACCGCAGTCATTAATATTCATACGTTTTATGTCAGTCTTATGCACATCCTTTCAAATAAAGTGTTACTGAAAAGCTAAACTGAATAAAATAAGAAAATAAAATAAATGCAACATAAAATAAGAAAACAGGACAAATTAAAGTAACTTACAAAAAAAAAGCTAAAAAAAGAACAAAAAACAACAATAAAAACTGGAGTTAAAACAAATAACTGGATTAATTGATTGATCAAATAATTATCAACTAATTTAGTAATCAAATAATCATTAACTCAGAAACAGACAACAGACCTACAGCAATAATTAAGCCGAAACTGTACAAAAATATATGCATTTTACATTTAAGATAAAAACTTTCGCTTTTCTAAAAATAATTTTTTTCCAGAACTTCTTAAGTTTCAGTTTAACTTCGGCTTGTTTGAATTCCTTTAAAAATCTCCTATTAGGTACTTTTTGCAGTTCAATTATTAATTATCACTGAACATTAATTGAAAACGTATTATCAGATTAAATCTGAACTGTAATGATGTTAAATGATGCAGAAACATCCCAGATTACTGCAGATTTGTCCTTTACTACAAATGATGAAGTACTCACTAAAATATTATTGGATCTTAGGCAATAAAATGTTAAGAAAAGAATTTAATTATTTGTTTATTTGCATTTTTATGTCTATTTTATTATTTTTGCAAATAGGCTTATGTGGTTAAATAAAAAATCTAGACAATTTGAAAATTTTTCCATCTTACTATTCAATTAATCGTCAGAATATTAGACAGATTACTTGATTAATACAATAATTATGAGCTGCAGTCCCAATAAGTACAAAGAAGGTAAAGTTATTTAAATAAAACTGCATTAAAATGAATAGAAATAGAACAAAATAAGTGAATGAAGAACCCAAAATTGAATTAAATACTAACAATGAGGCCATACATGATGGAAACAAACAAATAATTACGTTGTAGAGATCAGCCGCCAGCTTCTCGATGTATGCTTCAGCTTATCTGCTGTCTTCAAGCCATCTTGGAAGAAACTTTACAGAAATATAAGAAGATCACAACTTTTAGACACCTATCATTCATTAATACATCAGCTAACTTAACATTGTGATCCTTTTGGTTCTTCCATTTCTGCTTGCAGGCAGAAACGGCTGCAGTTTGTGTTGAACATCAGGCTCAGCTCGCTCTCATTCTTTGGCACCTTTTGGCTTCTGGTGCTGAAATCAGATCTGGTTTCGACCCTTCTCTGCAGATTTGCAAAGGCGTTTAGCACACTCTGAAATCCATTACAGATCTGTCAGCAGTACACACCTCGATTAAGTTCTGCAGCAGCAAATCACCACTAATGACTGCAACCCCTCCCTCTTCTTGGAACGAACATCTCCCTTCCTCTTCCCATTATTTTTTCTGCCACTTCTCGTTCATTCGGCTCGTTTTCTCTCAATCACTGCTCTGATGAGCCTACATCTTTGCTCCCACTGCAAACAGCTTAGCTTGCAAAGTGAAACCGAACTGTACTTGACAGCTGTCATTGCAGCCTTAGATTTACCACTTTTGTTGCATAAATGAAGTTCCTGCTTAAATTTATTGAAGCAAACTAGAGATGGGAATTACAATAAATTAATTTGATTACAATAAATTCTAATTAATATTTGAAATTTTCCAAAATTGTCCGTGTTGCCATTTTACAATTTTTCCTGTTTGTTCAATGAAGGCATCAATAAATGTCAAAAAATGTGATTCAATGCAGTTACTGTGCCACATTTCTGGTGTCCTAATAAAATGTATTAGACATTGGTAGGGTGGCACCGACAAATTGCCTCAGATTTCCTTAATATTGGGAGATCAGTGATTGGCCGATACTTGACTTTCTTGCAATATTTAGCAACATTTCAGACAAAAACAAACAACTGTATTGGCCAAAATTAAAATCGGTAGGTCAGGCTTTTTAAAGATCAGAAAACTGCACTGTTTTTCAGAAGCAGTATTTGCATTTATGTGAAAAATAAGTAATAAATCGCTCTCATCACTTTCATCATGATAAATCTGTCATGATAAAACTTTAAGATCATATTGCCCTCTGCGAGAGCAAACAGGACAATTTTACTTTCTTCTCAAGCTTTGACCACTTTCCTCAGCTCTCAGTCTGCTGTCCTAACGCTCCTAATCCATCATCCCTGCAGCCTTTCTATCCGTTGAACAGACTAGCAGGGAAGTGCATTGTTTTGTCCTGGTGTTATGACAGGACATACTGTAGCAACCCTGGATGAAAATCTGTCATTCTGTCACAGGTCGCTGCAAGCTGCAGCTCTGGAGAGAGGAGCACCCACTTTATTTACCTGCCAAACCCCTCGGCTGTCACAGCGTATCTATATGACGACCTGTAAGGATTTATGAGTGGATTCAAGATCTGGGAGCAACACAAGACAAAACTGCTGCAAAGAATGGGAGCTAGCACCTTCTTTCTTTTTCTAACGTGTGAAATATGACTTAATGGGTAAGAAGCAAAAGAAAAATAGTAGCAGTAGCAATAGCAGCTTCACATTTGGGTTAGGGGGATTATGGAGGTACTTACTTGCACTGTGCGTGGTAATACTTAATCAGGTTTTGCAGGAGGTCTACTCCTTTCTTAGTTTTAATCTCGTTTACTTTGATCAGGTACTGAAAGAAAAGCAGAAAAGCAGAGTTTAAATTCAGGGCATTTGAAAAGCTTTTCAAGTCTGAATAGGAAGAATCAAGTCATCAACACTTACAGTTATGATTCTTGAGTCTTGGGCTGCCACTATTTGTTATTTAGTAATCAGTTATTCTGTCTATTAACTGGATTTTTAAAAAAATTAATTAACCACTGGAGCCTTTTTATACATATTATATAAATTCAAAATGTTTTATACTTTTCTACAGTTTTGGGTGAACTACTGCTCTGAATGTCATTCTTTCACAAAATAAACTTTTTTTGAGTCTGCATACCTGATTAATTACTAAATTAACAGATAATTATTTCAATTATTAACAATCATTTCAGCCCTACTTGTGTCAGAGTTTAGAGAGAGTATTTACACGCCTCAAACTCAACCACAGTTTGTCCAGTTACAACTACAAACTGTAAATATTTTATAAAGATGCCACAACCCCAGCTTATGTACTTTATGTGACAAATCAGCGCAAATTAGTGGTTATTGTGAAATGGAAGGAAAATTGTAAAAAAAATTTTAAAGATTTGAAAGAAAAGAAACAGAAAGAATGTGGCATGCACTGATATTAAATTCAAAGTCTAAACCTCGATTCAGGTGAGAATCTGTGTCAAGAATATTCAGTCTGCCTGAGTTTGGGTACATTTGAATGGAAATATTAGATGCTAAAGCTGGCAAAAAACAAAGACTTGCAGCTGTAATCTCAGGAAAAGGTGGGTCTGAACAGCTTAGACTAAGACAGGATGAATACAAAGGCAAATAACACTTTTGGCATTTATTTTGAAATTGTTTTGAAAACCAGCTTCAATAAAACATATTGAAGCTGATAACTCAACAGTTGCTTTGTTGACAATGTTTGAGCAAGGATCAGAGTAATAAAGTAAAACTTGAATTTCACAGAAAATAGTTTTGTATCTTTAAAGGTTAACATTCCTAAAGAAGATCCTACAGAGGAGCTTTGAGTCTGTTTGAGGATTCAAGACAAATGCTTTCAGACAACTCCCCCACCAAACAAACAAATGAAAGATAATCTACTGATAATCCCAAAGAGAGTCAATTCACAAAGATTTAAGAGTCGGCGAGAAGCTAAAGACCAATTCTAGCCCAGAAAATCTTTGTTTCTTCAATGAAGCTCTGTGCCACTACATCATATGTTGATGCATGTGAGTTCCCACACGCATGAGTAAACGTATGCATAAGTGTGCATGCATGCATGTGTCGTCCCTTTGTCTGCCTGACGGCGGGCGACGGCTGGCAGATTATCCACATTTTTTGTTTGAAGCGCGAGTGGGCTTGGCGTTATTGGACAACGTCGCCGCATGTTTGTGAATCCCTTTTGTGTGAATGAGCGACGACATTCATGCTGCTGCAGAATATAATGCAGCCTGCTGAGCCCTGCCTTTTCTCTCCTCTGCTGGCAGCGTGGGACGAAAAAAAAAAGAGAAAAGGGTGAGAGAGTGAGAGCATCGTGTAATCTGGTGATTGAGTGACGTGGAGAGAGTGTGAGAGAGTCAGAGTGCAGGCAGTGGAAAGAAATGAGGTTAAGTGGGATGAACAGATTGTAACACTGACTGCAGCATTCTCACAACAACAGCATCACAACGAGATTTCCATTAATGACTGCTAATTGGGATTTATTGGCTGAAATGTATCCACATTTACAAAAAAATAGTAAAATATCAAAACTAGAACTGTGTGAAAAAACATCTGATGAAATAAGGATCAAATTAATAGAAAATCAATTTTTTTGGTTGTGTTTTATTTTTGACATCTAATAAAATATCCAGTGTTGTTTACAAAATTTAAATTTATTGGTCTTTGAGAGGACAAATGTGCAAAGCAGCTTATTCTTGCAGGGTTGGAGCGGGAGACTGGTGCCTATCTGCAGATGGCGACACACAGGACACACACTCACACCCAAAAGCATTTTAGAATATTTAATTAAGCCAACAGTCATGAATTTGCACTGTGGGAGGAAAACAGAACCCACACGTGAACTGGGAAAGCATGGAAACTCCATGCAGAATAGATTTGAACCCAGAGTGATTATGTGCAAAACAAAAAAAAAAAACCTTTATCAGAAACTTTTATCAGAGAATCAAAAGGTAAAAAGTTATGAAGGAGCCAACAAATGTCTTTAAATATAGAGTAGATGTAATAACATGAACGTTTTAGCAGTTCAAGAGAACATCACTAAAAGAACCATTCATATTATTTTAGATCTATTTCTTGTCATAGGTTGGAAATTATGTGAATCTTTTATGTAGCTGGTATGAGATGAAAAGAACCTCATTCACTGTTAAGTACGGTGGAGGATCTGTGATACTGTGGGACTGTTGTGAACTGCATCTCTTTTTTTTTATTTCAAAACAATGCAATAAAATAAGGATTTATTTAAATATTCTTAATCAAATAGCCAAACAAACCCTACTGCTCAGAAGTGCTTCAAGCAGAGCCAGTTTCAGTGTATCTGTCAGAAAATGAAAAAGAAATTTAAAACCAAATCTGGAACTGAGAAAACCAACGAAAGAGGAAGGTGGTGATAATGATGTGTGTGCTACAACTCATTACTGGCACGTTGCTGCAACCGGAGGCGGCTGCTATGCTGTAAAACACAGACACTGATGAGTTTCTAGAGCTGCTTTTTTATCAATTCATGGATTAAAAATGGCAACAACCAACGCACAGCACAACGCCGTGCTGATCCTGCAAAAACAAACAGGAAGCCTTTTGGCTGAGCCCTGTTTGACTTTTAGGCAACATTTTCAGTCTCCTGATAAATTCTCACGTTTCCAAAATTTCAGTCTGTAGTGACAAAAAAGAAAGAATGTCCTCTGGAAACCAGCAGAGATGGATACTTTAGAGTAGTGAGACTAAAGCTAAAAATGTCTCAATATCACAAGTTGACACTAACAATGCACTTTAACTTGCAGACATGTTTTAGCAAGTCTGTTAGCAGAGTAAAAGGTGTCAGATTAATTTAAATTCCTAGTGTGTGAGGAGACTAGAGCGAGGCACAAAACTGTTAATCTAGAAGATGATGTAAGATCAGAGCTTCCTGCAGGGGGATAAGGCAGAACAAACAGTCACTGACTCATAAGAGTCTAAAACATGCTGTACTGTCTTCAAAATGCACAAAGACATGCAGAGTCCACTTCTAATCTGACTTTTAATGATGTTTTAGAAAATGCATTGCGGATTCCATTTAGAAAACTAATGATATTCCATGTGCTATCCATTCTAAAAAGTGTAAAAGAAGCCTCTAAACTTCACTTAGGCACAGCTTTGTGTTTAGAGACACTGGAAAATATTACTGATAATCAGATATGACAAAGCCAAGCCTTGGAGCTCTCAAACCAAAGTCTCTGACCCGCTGAAAAAAATATGGGCACAATGAAATGAGGAGAGGGCAAGTCAGTTGGACTTTGCACAAAATTTAATCCAGAAAACCCAAAAAGCAATGAGACCTGCATTATGTAATTTGAGAAGAAAAAAAAAGATCCTAGCAGGATAAAACGGCAAGCGAGGCGTAGGCGTCACCGCCCACAACCAGAGAGGATTTTTGGCCAAGTGGAGAGAGGAGCTCTAACAGTTTGTTCTGATTCTTCTGGGCACAAACACAGAGCTCACATTTGTTTTACGCTTTATTCTCACTGCCAAGTTTCTTAAAAGTTTGGCCAATGTGAAACAGAGTGACTTAATTTAAAAGCTTACAGGATTAGAAGGAAGTCTGAAAACTCTCGGAGAGGAGAAGTTGGTTTTTTAGCACAATTTGTGTGCCAGCACATAATGACCCACAGCAGGCCAAGATCTATCATTTATCATCTCATGGACATTATTCAAATAATGTGTAAATGCTGGGCAATTAAACAGCAATTTCTTCTGTTTGTCGCATTTTAATGTTTAAGATAGCTAAACACTTTGCAATGTCACACAAAGTGAGGAAACACAACAAGCTGAATTAATAAAAACTATACAAATATATGTATTACACTGAGATGTAATATATAAATATGTTTTTAAAATATTTCTTAAAATTGCCATGTCATGACTGTATAAAAATCTTACTTCTCTGCCTCCTTCCTGTTGTTCTACTGCAATCTCCAGGAATATACCGCTCAGTCAGAAACAACCAATCAGAGCCAGGGGGAGGGACTTATCTTTGACAATCATGCTTGTGTATGAGCTGTAGCTTTAAACAGGCCATTCATAACTTAAAGCACTTCAATGTGGGTAAATTAACTAATATCTGCAGAAACAGTGGATAAACATTATCTATGTCCATCCATTATCTTTTCTCTGCAGCTATATATGTAAAAATTCACTCATCCCAAGAGCAAGTGTTGCACCACAATCTACTAGGTTTACATCTAGCATTAAGACATCCTGAGGGACATTATCCACTAAAGAGGTCTTAACTTTTTTTCCTATGAATCAATATGCAGCCTGTAGAAACATCTGGGATGAATTCATGGTGAACATTTGACTTTATTCTTTAAAAGTGAAATTCAAATGAAAGAGAGTTCTGACTTAAAAGAATATAAATGTTTAGGACAAACCCCTGATTGTTTCAGACAGTCTCAAAGTGTTTTTGTCATGTCCGGTGTTTTGTTGACTTCCGTTTCCTGGTTCATAGGGACTGGAAACAAAGCTCAACACACTTGCTGGTCATAAACACCGTTTGGTTCTGCTAATGTAACAGGACGAATATCTGCCAATCTTTGTTATTTCTACATCTGGAATCTCCACATATGAATCATAAATGAGAGTCTCAATAAGCAACAGAAACCATTGCAATATTTGTTTCACCTGTCTAAAACTGAGCAACAGCAACATAGCTACTTTACCTGCATTCAGCTTCTGTGCACCACCAATCTGGAACAAACTTCTAGAAAACTGCAAAACCAGTGAAACACTGAGTTTCTTTAAATCGAGGATAAAAGCCCACCAGTTTAAGAGTTGCTTTTGAACCATAATAAATGGAAAATTGACTGACATATTTCATGTGTATTGATATCACTCATCAAAATGTCAATGGTTTCTCAATTGCTGACTTTATGTTGTTTTTATGACTTCTTGTGTTTCAAACTCCTTTGGTGCTGAAATGTAAACTTGATTGATTGATTGACATCGTAAAAATGCAAGTTTACATCTTTCCTCCCTTTATCCCTATTTGATTTAAGAGAAGAGTGTCAAATTACTCACCTCGCACATCTGCAGCTGGAACAAGCGCCGCTCTTTCTCATCTCCTCTGCGATCTCGGCCCCAGTGATTTCGGTGCGGATCATCCCGTGCTGCTTGGCGTGCTCCCGCTTCTCCTTCTCTATCTTTGTACTGCAGGGAAACAAAATCGGGTGTTTCCAACTGGTAATAATGAGATATCTGGCATAGTTCACCATCGTCTACTTACAACTTAGCCTCATAGTCCTTCCACGCTTTGTCAAAAGGCTTCTTTAAGTCCTGCAGAGACAAAGGAGAAAATCCAGTCAAGTCCGAAGAGGTCAGTTTGAGGACAGAGATGTTTGTGGAGTTGGGAAACCACTCAAGGCCCAACGATCGGCTCGTGATTCATGCCATGGATGCCCAGTAAGGACCACGCCCCTCCTTGAACCTCCAACACGAGGAGTTCATGACCCAGTTACTCTCCTCATGCACCAGACAAAGGCAGTGTTTATGTCTGCCAGATTTACAGTTTCAAAGGAGAATTCCTCTCCTTACTCTCCCCTAACTCCCTTAATCACAGGCATGGGGGGTTTGGAGATGGATAGAGACTTACTGACTCCCACAAGAGTCCAGTAGGACAGAGTTGGAAAGACTAAACAAAGTGATGGTAAATCTTACCCCTTTCACGCCTTTCAAATCCCCCTTGAGCAACGAGTCCAGGGTGAAGATCACATTGTGGCTGAGGCTCTGTAGCTGTTCAAACAAAGCAAGAAAAACATAGTTAATGTGTCACAACAGACTGTCAGAAGAAAATGTTTGATAAATACTCTGGAAGACAAAAAAACAACAATGACTCAATCTAATAAACAGATTGATTCGCCAGGATGTGATGAATGATTAGGCGCAGTGATTTAATTTGCACCACAGATACATCAAAATTTTAAAAAGTGTAGCAACTTTCACTTATTGACAGACTAATCTGCAGTCGACGGATGAGACTGTGTGAAACATTTACTCCTCTTAACTGGAGAGCTCGGCAGAGACGTCAAAAAACAACGAGCTACAAAACAAAACAAAACTAAAATGAGTCAAAAATTGCCAAAGACGCCAGATGTATGATTCAGCCCACCCACACACACAAACATAAGAAACTAGTCATTTGCTGGGATGAGTGAAGGTTCAAGACCGTTTCAGCTGTGAGGTGGCAACATGCAGACAGACTTCAGATACATTTTACATAATTCAGGACAAAAGACTTGGACATCAAGCTCTATTTATTTATATAGGGTAAGATTTAGGGAAAGGACTTTAACATGCTAAAAATTTCAACACAATTACTCAGATTTTTCCCAAGTCGGAACCTTTGTATTTGCATGTTTCTGGTACAGCCGTAAATCTGACGCACAAGCAACTTCTGCAAACATCAGCAAAGGACAACAAAGCCCCTTCTCTTGGCTTTAGATTAAATTTTGCTCTAATAAATTATCTGATGAGACTGGAAAAGACTATTATTGTGTGCAAATTGTGCCAAAAGAAGTTAGCTGTTACCTAAATTAGCATCTCAATGCTAAACTTGTTGCAGCAAATACAGTCACCCCCAAGGCTAATGTTAATATTTTAAAGAAGTAACATGACTGAAACACTGCAATACTTGAAACATGAATATGTATATTAGCACTTGCACCAATCTAATGGTTGAAAAGCCTAAATAACAGATTAAAAGCATTAAGTATATTTGCTGTTAAGTCTATTTACTAACAATTTAGCAGAAAAACTTTTATTTTGAGAGAAAATTCTCAAAATTTGTATCGAATTTTTGTTTGATTGTTAAGAATTTATCAAGTAGTAAAACATTTATATTCATGCTCTTATTTTGAAGCTTTGTCCATTTTCCTTTCCTTCATTTTCTTTCCCCCAATAAATTTATTTAAACATAAAAATAAAACGCTTATCATAGAGAGCAAAGCATAAACAAAGATATTGTAGAACATGTAAATTATAATGTTGAAATTAAATTGGTGCTCAATGGTGGTAGTCTCTCCAGGGCAGATATATTAAATAAAGTTAGCGCTTTAAATTAGTTTTCACTGAATATTGTGTTGGTTTAGTGCGCTACTGTTAGCAAAGCTAACTTTTTAGTTAGTGTTGTGCGCCACTGTCCGTTTTGTAAATTGATACAGGCTGTTCTTTTTATTTGAGGATGCAGATTTGAGCTAGAGTGTTTATGCAAAAAATATTTACTTCAAGACATACAGCAGATATTCAGCAATGATCCTGAATTCAAACCAAAGTAAAGACTAGAAAGATTCTAAAATATGCTAAATATGGGATTTGTTTGCATCAGTGATTCTTCAAAATCACTTCAGTTTTTGACATGCTTATTCCAAGTGTCTGGAAGGTCTAGAAAGGCTTGATTAGTCCTGTTGGCACAGCTTGGCTCAGCAGTTCCAGCTATGAGGATCAGCAAGGTCATTTACAAGACTACTAAGCATTTAAGTCCCTGTTGTTAGCCAAGTCCCACATTGATACTAAAGGAAGTAAACAAGGCCTAATGGGCACTAATGTGCTCCTTAAGTGCCTGTCTTGCATATGGCCAACATCTAAATCAATCCTTCACTGACCGGCTGCTGGCGAGCTCTTCCACCTCCTTTTGAAAACTGTCACCAATGCTTTTTGCTTCCAAACACAATACTCAGAAAGAAGATGCATTAAACCGGGTTAAATCAGTTAGTAAAATCCCGGGGACACATCCAGGACACACGCTCTCAGCCGTCGATACTCATTTGTCATACCAGCTGCCCTCAGGGTGCAGCTATTGAAGTCTGAAAACTCGATACGCTGCTGCAGATAACAAGAGTCAAACTGAGACGGCGGCTGAGAGAGATCAGGTCACTTTTCCACAAATGCTAGTTGCACAGACCGGGTTGTTTGATTTGTGCATGCACGGACACACAACCCACTCAGCTGTTCCTGCTGCTGCCGCCAAGAGTATTTATGTTGTCTAATCTTACTGTCAGCCACATGGAAAAGGAAGGGAAGACCGGGATCGGGCTCTTCTTCCAGCAGGAATCACTCAGAGGGTTTAAACAGGACGTGCTACTTAACAGGAACTGCGGGAAATCCGTGGCATGGAGATAAGAAGCTATCTGGGGGTACAAAGTTTTCAACTGTGCTTATTTTTTTTTAAAGAAATACTTCCACTGTGGCCCAGATTAATAGCTTTCCAGAATTTCTGAAGGTCTGACTGGGTTTATAGTTTTGATGTTTCTTCCAATGAATTCCTTTCTAGATATTTACCTGTCCATCACAGATAATTGTTCAATGTGTGCTTACAAAGAAGTAATGTTGACAACAAGAGAACAACAGAAGAAAACCAGATTAACAGCATCCACACCTGGACTGGTTCATCAGGTAGACTGAGACAATTCCCGGTGGGCTGATCACATGTATATGGCAGGCCTTTTTAACATAAAATCAGTTTCATCTGACTGTCTGTAAATACATTCCAGATGTATACAAATGAGTTTAGATGAGACAAATTTAAGATAGTTAGATACCACAACTAACTAATATGTCATAAGGATTGCAATTAAAATAATGCAAGAGCAAGTGAACTAAAGAGCACCAAATTATGAGGCAGAATTCATTTTGTTTATTTCTATCCTGAAGATATTTTTAAACTAACTTTTCAAGTTATTTAAGTGAATGTTAAATAAGGCATAAGCCCATTTTACATGTCTGGAACTTAAGCATGGTGAAGCAGACTTTTTAAATGGCTTGCCATAGATCAGGTTCACACTGGGAGCTCTCATTTTGTTTTGCTTTCGGAGACACAACCTGACGTAGTTCTTAGTGGAAAGTAGAAAGAGCCAGGATAACATGGTGAAGGACAGAATTAAAACTTTCATTAAAATTAGTTCACATTAGTACCATCAAATCAGGACGGTAAGTAAGGTAAATTATCAGGTTAAAGTTTTTAAGAGAATCAGAGATGTGAAATCTGCCATAACACTGTCAGTCCATCTCTATAAAAAAGTACCTAAAGATCCCGATTAAATGCCTTCTTTGTCAAGATGTTTTTTCTGAGAAGAGTCATTTAGTCCAAAACATTTAGATAAGGCGCAGAAAAACTTTTCTTATCTTTTAAACATGATAAAAAAGTTCATGCATATGTAGGGCAGTCAGCTATTTCAGCTCATGGGAGACCAACCAACAAGGCAGAAGCATTTGAAAAAACCTGGCTCTCTGACTCTAAATTATTGGCTTTACTGGGATGTCGACTAGCCGGACTCACCAGGTTCTTCAGCAGGGCTGACAGCTCCTTGGTGAGAGAGGAGAACTTGACAAAAGCTGTCCCCAGGTCAGGGTTGTCCCTGCTGATGAAGTTGCTACCAAACTTATCCAGAGCCTGGGTGTTTTTTTCTTCATTCTGCACATGATCTGTGTTGGGAAAACCGCAAAGAAGAGGTTAAAATCAAAAGGTCAAGACTGGAAGACCAGAGCTCTGAATATCATTACAAAGTGTAAGATTCATGGAACCTTACACTTTCTTTTAACAAATTAAACCATTTTTAAAACACTCATAACACAAATTACTTAGCTTAAAAATATAAGGTAGAAAACATAACAAAACTCCTTTAAAAGCAACCTAAAGAGAAAACGCTGCATTTTTCTGGAGAATTTCAGGGAGACGTTGAATGTCTGGGATTTGTAGTTTTATCACAGTATAAAATAACATGTAAGTTCAGAAACTAGAACTACAACAAAAGGAACAAATGCAGAACAAATAGAAGAGAAAATATATATATGCATTTCAGATGTAATTTTATCTTTTCACGTAGTTAAGAATTTTTAAAGGTCTGGTATTGAACTGAAGACATTTCATTAAGGCTTCATTATTGAAAGATACACACAAAAATTAAAAATGCCTCCATATAAGGCCAGAGGATAGATATTCTCTGGACTGATGAGACAAACTGGAGCTGCTTGGTTGATAAAAAAAAAAGCTTTAAAAGAAAATAATCCAATAGCTTCAGTGAAACATGGTCGTGGCTTGGTTTTGTTCTGGATAAGAGCCCAAACATCCATGGAAAGAGCTCTTGTTGGTAACGAATGATGTTATTAAATATTTAATTAAAGGTGTCATTCTTTTGACCAGGCAAGTTTAGTTTTTCTTTGAAATATTCAATTGAAGTAAATATCAAAAGCAAAGTCAGATTTGGGCTGAATATGTGATAAACAAAATAAATTAAAAAACCTATGAATTTTAAATAATTTCAGAAATTGTTTTTCTCAAGTGTTTTTCTCAAGAAGCCATCTTTTTATACTGTTCATGTCAGGGTTAGAAGATGTGTGGTTCTCCTGGCGAATCAAACGCTGCAGGAAAAGTCAGTCAACCAGCAGAATCCATCTGTATTCATCGTTAAGTTCCCAATGGAGAACGGCTGCTTACAAACTAAAATCCAAGCAAACGGGACTAATGTTTTACATAAATTAAATAAACTACATTTTTTCAAACTCCTAACTTCAAATGTTCAAATGATAGTCATCTTGTTTGAAGGAGAATATGTTATAAATTACATTTCCAGAACCTTTGAACAACCTTCTCTAGTTTTTCCAGTGGTTTTTCCACTTTTCATCTCAATGGGTTAAAGTGGCCAAAGGGTAAAGTTACTCCTTTCTTTGGAGAGCAAACAAACATCCCAAGCTGTCAAAATACAGGGTGATAGCTGCTTTCAATGACATTCAGTGGAAAATAACTGCAGATTCATGACACAGCACTGAGAAAAACTCAGGTGTTGATTTCTGGGACAAGAAAAACACACAGTACACCATCTGTCCCACAAAAGGCGGCTTTGCAAGAACAAACAGGGATTTTCACGCCTGCAAGAATAAAATACTGAATAAAAGACCCTGGACTTTATAGGACATAAAGATGTCTCACCTTGACCTGAATTGTAGATTGCCTTCACTGATTTCTTCACCTTTTGCAGAGAAGTTCGATCCTGATCCAGTGCCTGGAAAAAAAAGATTTTAACATCTCAGGGTGATTTCATGCTTTCGGAAAGCACAGCACAGTCAAATCAAAAGGCAGCAGATATTTTCCTGATAACAAACCAAATATTTGCTTAACAATCTAGAGCTATTAAGACAGAAAGGCCAAGTGAGTAATTGCTGTTGAACTGGCAAAACAAATCAGGATTTTTATCACCTCAAATTAGTAATCTTTATATCTTTGTTGTTTTAGCTGTTAAAGTACTGGTAATAAAATTGCAAGCAAACAGACATCAATCTTGTTCTTCATAAAAATACAACAAATTTAATACTCTAAAATGGTTTAAATGTGACCCCTGAGATGAGGAGTCCCCTTAATGCTGCTGCATTCATGAGGAAAATGTCCTCAGTGTCCCAAGAAGCAAGCAATGTGGCTGCAATTCAAGTCCGAAAAAATAAAACTTAGATTTTACTTGTTCCAGTCCGAAATCCTGAACCCCGATTGAAACTATTAACAAGTTCAAATCTTAAATCAAGATAAATATAAGGTAGCCTAAGACTGATTAAAATTTTTTTTTCAGTTTCAGCTGCTCCTCTTATTTGTAACTTTTACTCAGATCCAGTTTTCATTTTCCCGAAAGGCTCTGAAAAAACACCCTTGTTTATTTAGGTGCCAGCAGAATCCGTCTGTATTCATCGTTAAGTTCCCAATAGAGAAATACAATCTTCTCACGAAAGCTTTTTTTTTTTCACATGTAATCTTTCGTTCTTATTGTTGAGTGTTTTTCAGTTTCTTAGGAGTATTCTCACCTGGAGAAAACTGACAACAATGCTGTTGGCAGGCATCTAACTTCATGATTAATCACCTGTAAGAGCAGCAAGAAGATTCCCTGTCAGACTGGACGCCATGATTCTGCATGTCGTCTATTAATGTGCTCACTCATTGCAGCTGAGATAATTGTGTGGCTTGTTATTTAATAGCAACAAATGTCTTTGTTACTCGTTTCTGTTCAAGGATTAAAAATGCGAGTGTGTAATGTTGGTTTTGCAGAATAATTTATTCTGACAGTGCAAATATCCACTAATTCGAACAGCAGAATGAAACCAAAATGATGATAAACACATGCAGGAAGACTGTTACTGCAAGGTCAAGCTGTAGAGAACACACACACACCGAGAGAGACACACACACAACAATGCCCTAATTAAATTTAACAACATAATTAAGTCGCCCTTGGCCTTCCTTGGACAGTTTTACACAGCTCTTCTCCAATTATGGCAGCAGTAGTTCACCGCCGCAGGGCTTTTCCTGCCAGGGCCAGGCCCTTTGATCCCTCTGCAAATGGAAATGGAGTTTGATGCCACATAAATCCTCCATTAAACCTGTTACATGGCTACATGCTCCACATCTTGGACCCAAATATCCCTGAATGTGTATAAATAATTATACACGTGGAGATGAACTAATCAGAATCCCACGGCTCATTGTAAGGGTATTTTCACACACAGTCTGGTAGAGTTGGTTTGATCGGGGATCAAAATTCAAACAATTGTTGCATTTCATTGGATATGAAACAACAGGTGAGTGAACTGTACTCCCCACAATGGTTGCCATTTGCATGTATTATTTCAGATCTTCATTAAAAAGCAAGTTTCATTATTTATTTTTTTGCCTCTGATTGAATTAAAACCTTCAGACATCTCCACAATTAAAATACAGAAATGCTTAATCCCCAAACAAGATTTTTTTAAAAAAAAAAAAAGCTGCTTGACTTGCATATTAAAATGGTTTCATAAGACTTTTCCTCAAGCTGTTAGAGGTTTTAAAGTTTGACCTGCCTCCATCTGAATATGAACCAACAGGAACGGCACTGAGGATGAGTAAACAGTTCATTCACCTTTAAATTACTTAGTGGGATGGTACCGCAAGAATCATTTATTCACTGAATGTTAGTTCACAAATTTTGGTACCTGGGGCAATGATCACCATGCACTGAATGGAAAATAGTTTTCAGGACCAAACTAGAAGAAGAAATTGGTCAAATGTGTTTAGATTATTGCGATATTTCAAGTGGGTGGCAAACATCGAGGAGCCATTTGCTAATTTTTATTCTTCTGAGGCAGAGCTGTTTGTACCAAAAATCCCTTACAGATGCCTTCAAAACTTAAAAAAATACACATGCAAGATAACCAATGAGTCAATCAGAAGACAAAAGTGAAAGACTTAAATCTGTCTCAACATAAACTCAATGCAGACTGAAAACATACCAATTAAAAAGACAACGCCTAATTTATCAAGAACAACTACAAGACTACTTTATTAACACTAATAAAAACATATTAACACTGCTTTTCAAGATAGTGTTAATATGTACTGCAGGCAGAGCAAATATCTTTGCTTAGGACAACAAATGCACATGGCAGCAGTCATCTGAGTCAGGCTCCATCTAAATGTGGTTTGTCGTCATGTTGGGTATGTGCTGCAGCAACCACCACACCCTCAACAACAGCTGGCACATCCACTAGCAAACCATGCTTCCTCTCAGGGTCACCGTTAATTCACAGTTTACAAAGGATTAGATGTCTAATTGGGTTTTAGGGTTGCTTTTTAGGTTTTAGGGTTGCCCCAATTAAAGTAAAGGTTTTGACTGGTAGAAAGAAATCTCCATGGAGAAATGCACAAATAGTTCGGTCTGCAAGACAAGTCTGCCGCAGGGCAGAACGACAATGGCGTAAAACTCAACTTCACGTTCATCACGACATCTACAAAGAACAACTACGTAACTATCACTTAACACTAAAACATGGAAGGGAGGCTTTCTTTGCAGATGTCATAAACAAAAACATCAATAATGCTCGAACTTTATTTGCAACAGTTGACAGGCTCACAAACCCTCCTGTGACGTTACCACCTGAATTCCAATCTAATGTTGCCTGTAATACGTTTTCTGATTTCTTTTCAGAGAAAATCCAAAAAATCTGAGGATTAATCTGCACATCAACTTCAAAGCCAGAACCATTGCTGTACCAAAACAAAACAAATACAGAAAAAATGACCCATTTTCAACTACTTAATTATAAAACTCTAGAAGAAATTATAAGTCAATTAAGTTCAAGCTCCTGCTGTCTGGATGTCCTTCCCACACATTTCTTTAAGAAAGTCCTGCCTGTTATTGCTGCTGATCTGATCCAAATCGTAAACTCATCGCTTACATCAGGTGTTTTCCCCCAGGCCTTGAAAACAGCAGTTATCAAACCACTGTTAAAAAAGAACAACCTGGACAAATCACTATTGCAGAATTACAGGCCAATCTCAAACCTCCCATTCATCAGCAAAGTTATTGAAAAAACTGTGTGTAAACAATTAAATAGTTTCCTCATGATGACCAACTGCTTTGACACTTTCCAGTCTGGTTTTCGTGCTCACCACAGCACGGAGACTGCCCTCGTAAAAGTATTCAATGATATTCATATAAATACGGACTGTGGCAGAACCACGGTGCTGGTTCTGTTGGACCTCAGTGCAGCTTTTGACACTGTCGACCATGACATATTACTGAATCGACTTGAAAGTTGGGTTGGACTCTCTGGTTCGGTGCTCGACTGGTTTGAATCCTACATAAAGAACAGGGATTTCTTTGTTTCAATTGGAAACGATCTAGAGTCAATGCACAGCTTCAGTTATTACAACTAAAACCTAGCGATCAGGCCCGAAACCTGGGAGTAGTGATGGACTCGGACTTGAACCTCCAGAGCCACATAAAGACAGTAACAAAATCGGCCTTCTATCACCTGAAGAACATCTCCAGGATTAGAGGACTAATGTCTCAGCCAGATCTAGAGAAACTCATTCATGCGTTTATCTTTAGTTGCATTGATTATTGCAACAGCATCTTCACAGGCCTGTCCAACAAATCAATCAAACAGCTGCAACTGATCCAGAATGCTGCTGCTCGCGTTCTCACTAGAACCAGGAAAATAGAGCACATAACACCAGTTTTAAAGTCCCTCCACTGGCTCCCTGTAGCTCAAAGAATAGATTTTAAAATACTGTTGTTAGTTTACAAATCACTGAACGGTTTAGCACCACAATACATCAAAGATCTGCTGTTGTTGTATCAACCTTCCAGACCTCTCAGGTCTTCTGGTTCTGGTCTGCTCTGCATCCCCAGAACCAGAACCAAAAGAGGAGAGGTCTGGAGCTTTCGGCATCTATGGACCAAAAATTTGGAACAAACTTCCAGAAAACTGTAAAACAGCGGAAACCCTGACTTCCTTCAAATCTCAAGTAAAAACGCACCTGTTTAGAGTTGCATTTGAAATGTAATAAGTATGATTTTGATTTTGTGGATATGTATGTAATTTTTATTTTTATTTTTTCCTGTTGTGGGCAACGGGGCCCGGCGAATACCCGTGGTTAAACGGACGGCGGAGTCTGGCGGTAACAGGCGCTTAAATTCCGTGTCAAAGGGAAGGGGGAAGAAAGGGAAAAAAGAGGGAAAAAAAAAAAAAAACTTGGTATTTTATTCTATGTTGCATGCCTTTGTGTTTTGTGTTTATGGTGTAAAGCACTTTGAAATGCCTTGTAGCTGAAATGTGCTATACAAATAAAATTTGATTGATTGATTGATTTTTTTTTTTTCATTAATGAATCAAATTCTCTCAAGAAGTGTTTTGTATTTACTCAGGTCAACGTAATTAATCTTAAAATAAGTTTGATTACAAATTATTTATAGAGGCAGTATTGTATACTTTCCAGCCACATAGCGGCATTTTCAAGTAACTATGTTACCTTCAGCTGTTGTAAAAATGCTGTATATATTAAATATGGCTAACTTTGTTATGTAATGCCTTGAAATTGGGTCTCTACCTCTTTAAACACTCCAGGACTTTTTGAAACGCTGCTGCTTCAGGAAGTCATCACTACATTACTCCTCTATTAACCCTTTAACAAAATTTTTTACAACCGTTCCATTGAGATGTCGCTCATATTATGAGTTCAGCGGATGTGCAGTTCCACCAG